ATGGCTAAGTATATACTAGTATTATTGCAAATATGTATTATTATTAATATTATTATTACTATCAGCATTATCATATTACAGTACAAATTTTAGTAATACCAAAGCTAGTAACTTATAACAACTATAAGTTACCAATTAACTTTGGTTCCTACAAAACTGAATAAAATGCAGTTATACTCCTTGCAAAAACCAATATTTATTATACAAGGTTAAGCAGTAGAAAGAAAGTTTGAAGTTACAGGAGTTTAAACATACAGCTGTTTAATGAAAAGTTTTTGAGAAATCAGCCTTCAAAAGTTTAGGATTTCAGACATTTCTCAGGCACAAATAACTTCATTTTAAAATGGAGAAACTTGTATCACCATATTGGTGTTTTTCACAAGGCTGTTTTTTGCAAGAAGATAAACATGAAATGAAGAAACTTAAATTAAAAACACAAACATACATATTGAAATACATACTGATATGTCAATCAAAAGTAAGATCAAAGAAAAGTAAAATACTAAAAAATTAACATTATAAAGACTAAAGACTTTATTTATTTATTAAGGTATAATACACAAAACAAAACAACAGCCAAAGGCTGAAAACGTTTGTTTACAATCAACAAATAAAGACAACATAGGAAAACAGGTCAGGTGGAAAAATACATATCGAAATATTAAAACATTGAAATAATTACATTAGAAAAGTTAAAAATTAATATCATATTATGAAATATATATATATAAAAATATACACCATATTATTATAATTAAATTTCAAAAATATCAATTGATTCAAAATTAAAAATAGATATTGAAATATCAAAACATTCAAATAATTACAATAGAAAAGTTAAAAATTAATTTCATATTACAAAATATATATATAAATATATACACCAAATTACTATAATTAAATTTAAAAAAACGTCAATTAATTCAAAATTTTAAATACATTATTATGATACAGGATTAAAATCAACCCAAACAGCATCCGCTGGACAAAGAAATTAAACTTAATTATTTGCATTGATAAAATTAACAATAGTAGGTATGGCAGACCTTCTATATCTTTCAGTTTTGCATCTGGGGACATCAACAGTATTAGTTGTATTAGACCTAAGGGTTCTCTTCTGCTCGCGGCAAGGAGGCAACATGTCACGAAAACAGTCAGACTTAAGCGAAACCCTGCCAAAAGACAAAACAAGGGTTTCTCTCCTTGCTGCAAGTGATGGTAAACCTGTAATCTCTAGGGCATTGTCATAAGTAATGTAGGCAGCACCTAACATTATGCGACATGCTCTTTTTCTGGATGGTCTCAATGCTATTGGCCATTTTATTACTTGGCAAGCGTATTCCAAGATGGGCCTAATGTAGAAGCATAAACAGTGAGTAGGTCATCAAGAACAATGTTTGCTTTCTTTAGTATACACAGAACAAACAGTCTTCTTGATGCCTGTGAGACAATATCTTGAGTGTTAAGGTCCCACTTCAAATTACATTGGATTATGACAGCAAGCAATTTCATATGCTCTACTACATCAATGTTTGTGCTATTTAAATTGAAAATGAGGGACTCTACATTAACACTCACATCTTTCAAAAAATTTAGTCATTATATGACACTTAGAAGGCTTCGGAGTCATGTTGTTCTCATTGCACCAATCATTAAGCATCTCCTGCATTGAAGGTCTTGCTCCTTCATTAACAACCTCTCCCAGGGTGAGGTCGTCTAGGTATTTCCAACTTTTAACAACTATTAACAAGTTGTAACAAGTTTGATATTCTGAGATTTTTGGTTCGTTTCACACATGCACTTTCAATCCATGAGAAATCTCGGGAAAACTTGGAAGAATATTATGACTAGGCCTAGAGTAGTACTAGTAGGCCTAGGCTAGTTGTAGGTTGTCCGAATTACATATCAACTACTAAACTAGGCCTGGTACCGAATTAACAAGATTATAATTATTCCATGGTCCTTAGCCTTCGGAGAGTAAAACGAATTCAACTCCTAGCTCACTTGCTATAGTTGAGCTGGCGAAAAAGATAGGCCTAGGCTAGCTAGGCGCAGTCGGGCCGCCGGCCGGTAGCTCACCATTGTTGTTAAAGGCAATCAGTGCAACAAGCATCATAATGATTTGCTGTCGGCGTATTTTACGAAGCCTCATGATTGTTTCTACATCAGACGTGAAATTTAGCAAGATTTCTTTTGATTTTAGGTCTAGGCCTATTAACAAATGGTAGTAATGTTGATACATTTTCCATCGCTGCCGCCATTCGTTCGAACTAAAAAAAAAAAAAAAACACAGCTTGCAAAAAGGTAAAAATATGGACATGACGCATGCGCAACAACAACTCGGAAGACATCGGGAAAAAAACAGCGATGGTCTGTTTTTGTTCCGAGATAACTCAGGGGACCCCTGTGAAATCTCGGAAAGTTTACAAGGATTTTGCTTTCACACTCATCCAAACCTGGTTACAACTTGTTACAAGTTGTTAATATTTGCAAATATCAGTGTGAAATGGGTATTAGTGCCTGTGAACTGGAATTCTTTTTTGGACTTTTGAATTATTATTTTTGCTGCTCTATTTGGTAGTACTTTGAGTTTATTTCTAAGTGTTTAGTTACAACTACCCCATACAACATTGCAATAGTCAAAATGGTGGGAAATGGTTTTGCTTGTCTTTGCCACATATGATGATACTATAGAAAGGGAACCTACAGTATGAATAATACAGTATTATTATTATTATTATTATTATATTATTATTATTATTATTATATTATTATTATTATTATTATCAACATTAATAATAATAATAATAATAATTATCATGTTTTAATAGTTTTAAGGGTCTAAGAAAAGTCAGGGAAAAAAAAATTGGTAACACTTCTTTTTCTCCCCAGCTTTTAATTATTCAAAAATGTGTTTACTACCAACGTTCCCGATTTTTTCATCAAACACCCTTCTGCTGTAAAGGTAGTTTTAAAACATATCAAATTTTCCCCTCTGGAGATTAGTTTTATTCCAGCATTATATATTTTGAATTGGATTTGAATGTGATTTCAGAAGCACATTATGATTAATACAGTAATCATACGTAAATTCATGATTCTATGTTGCAGATTTAAAGATGCAAGGACACAAAAAAATGGCGTTGATAATTTATCATCTGTTGACGACTCTACTGGTACCAGTTGCTGGCACTGTGTGTCCCAATCAACATAGCTTCTCTTGTACTGAACAAGATACAGAACTCCCGGACAACACCATTGGTAGAGCTTGTGTTTGTGTGTTCGCTGACTGCATACCTAAAGCCAACCCATGCCCTACCATAGACAACATTGTTTTTAAAGATCCAACGTTTACATTCATAACGAGAAATTTGTTTTTAAATTACAGTAGAATAAATTCTATCGATATTCAAAGTAGCAGTGTTGATTACATTGCAGATATGGCCTTCGAGGGTCAACAAAATTTGAAAATGCTTCGAATTGAAGGCAACAAGATTCAATTTGAAGCAGGGGCCTTTCGCAGCATGGAAAATCTAGAAATCTTGCAATTCCAGCCTAAAAATTTTGCATTAACTAGAGAATTATTTACTGGACTTGGATCAACCTTGGAGAATCTGGATCTGGGAACAGGAATGGTTAGGAAATTGAATAATAATACATTTGACCAATTCATCAATTTAAAAACATTGTCCCTCGCCAATAACCATCTAGGAACAATCCAGCAACGATGGTTTTTCAGATTAGCTCAACTGGAAGAACTCAACCTTGGGGGCAATAACATCCAGTCCATCCCAAGCTCTGTCTTCAACTATCAGACAAACCTGAAAAAGCTGTACATACCAGAAAATGAAATTACAGCCTTGGAAGAAGGATGCTTTGATGGACTGGGTTTTCTAGAGGAACTTGTCCTATCTGGAAATCAAATACAATACATGGATAACTTGTTAACAGGTCTCGCAAACCTTACAAAATTGGTTATGAATGATAATTTACTTCAAACCACCAAAAAGGAGAATTTTGCAGGACTTGCCTCCCTTCAATCTTTATCACTTTCTGGCAACTCCATTGCCAGCATCTCAGCTGGATCATTTGATTCCCTACCAAAACTAGAATCTTTGGACTTAAGTCAAAACCTTCTGCCAAATCTACGAGAATACTATTTTGAAGACCTACAAACAGTTTCTACGATTAACCTTGGATATAACAAGATCAACGAGATTGGCAGAAACACTTTCACCAGCCTTACTAACTTGACATATCTATTTCTGGAAAACAACCAATTGAATACCTTCTCTTTCATGGACTTCAGTGACAAGCACAACTTGCAGAGATTAAGCTTACAGAACAACACAATTACTTCTGTAAGCTTCAGTACCATTGTGCAACCACCGCAACTGTTGAATCTAAAAATACTCTGGCTTGAGAATAACAGGTTACCAACATTTCCAAGTTTGATTTTTGACTACGCACCACAGCTTGCCATCGGCCGGAATTCACTTCAACTGACGCAAAATCCCCTGTCATGTGATTGCAATATCAAGGACCTGAGCGAATCCACAAGGAACATTGTCTTGGATGCTCAAATAAGTTCCAATTGTGCGCAACCCATCTGCAGTGCACCTACAGCAATTTTTGTCCAAGAAAATGTCATCGTACCAGTGGGTGAGGAAGTTAGCTTGATCTGCAATGTGACTGGTCAACCTAATCCACTGGTTTCATGGATGATGAATGATGTTGTGATAGAAGGAACATACAATACTTTCACTGGCATATCACAAATAAACTTTGACAAAGTATCCAAAAGTAACTATGGAAACTATACATGCACAGTTAGAAATATTTATGGATCCTCCAATATTACAATGAATCTAATTGAAAAGAAGGTTAAATACCAAGATGCTGGGGGTGAAAATGACCAAGATGTTGTTAAAGGCAAAAATGAAGCCAACTGTCATATGCCTTCATATATGATTTTTGGTAATCTAGTTCTTTTAACTGCAATAGTAAGAAATTATTGAGAGAAGCCATTGAGTAGCAAAGGCTTTTTATATAGTTGGTGTGCCAAACATGAATATAATTCAAAGATCTTTAACATCCTTAAGTATCATGTCAGTGACATCATGCCATGTGACACCCCTTCATTAATGAAAAAACTATACCGAAGCGGTTTATAAGGTAGAGTGGTTCTCAGCTACAGTTCACATTTCAATTGATGTAAAGTTCTATTACTGTACCTGTATATAATTATAACATTATTGTACCTTTTTATTCTGCACTTTAAAATTAAATATACAAAGGATATTATGGCAAAATTTGAAGGTTTTGATATGATAAACTGTGCTGGCTCTGTTGGTGATCATCATAACGATTGCATTGTGGGTAGTCAGTTGCTCAGAAACGAAACTGTGTCACATGCTAATGTGATGCAATGATATGGTACTCTCAATAAGACAAACAATTTTCAGAATTTTATGGTCACAAATGATTTAAGATTTGTAAGAGTTGAATCATTTGTTTAATAAGTATATGAAAGCCTACCAATATACTGTACCTCTACTGTACAATTTGTAGGTCTAAGTTCGTATGTTCTGTATGTACAATTGTACAGTGCAACTACCAGAATACACTTATTTTTAATTAATATACACTTATTTACTATTCTGAACCAAAAATGTTACGTATGCTAAAATTTTGCACATACAATATACTGTAGTGGCTTTAGAAATTTACCAGCAGAGGTCAGACATGACTGCCCAAAAAAACTGGGGGGGGGGGGCGGTTGGGGAGAATGTATATAATCCC